AAATTGTTGAATTGTTTAATGATCTGGCTACTGGCCAATACGACATCGTCTTTTGTTGGTTACCCAGCCATGTTGGGATCGTTGGTAACACAATGGCTGATGCTGCTGCTAAGGCAGCGCTCAACAAATCTGTAACACCACTTCTTATTCCATACAGTGATTATAAACCCGTGATTAGATCTTACATCCGTGATCTAATGCAAAAGAAGTTGGACACTCAAGTGGGTATAAATAAATTACATGAAATTAAACCGGCTACTTTGGTTGTCAGTCCAGATTTGAAGAGGTCATAATGCGACGATGTCGTATTTGACCATAGCAGATATACTCATGAATATATTTTGAAAGGCGAGGATCCACCATTTTGTATCCTTTGTGATGAGAAAATCACACTCATGCATGTCCTGCTTGACTGTTGATTTTGCCATCACAAGGGATAACTATTTCAAAGTTTCATCTTTAAAGGATCTTTTTAATATCAGTGCTCGTTTGATTCTTGACTTTTTAAAAGAAATCGAAATTGTTACTTAAATTTGATTGATATGTTTTGTATATAATATAGTTTTTATAATTGGTAAAATGAATTTGATAACTGAGATTGTCCGTGGCTGTGCCCTCGAAGGGGGTTGAAGTAGTGTAAAATAATTGTCCCCCTGAGAGGGTATGTAAGACCACGTCTTTCAGAGTGTACTTATTGCTACCACGTTTTTAATCGTAGAATATGTGTTGTTTTAATGTTCCGCTAATTGTGTCAGCCATCGCAAACACCTGAAGGGATGGTGTAAATCCTGCTGGGGTCCATGCAGGTAGCAAAAGTACTGTACCGTGGTCACTAGTGAGATGATCTGTCTTCAGTTGCTGGCGATCTATAGCCTTTTTAATATTGTATCGTTACGTATAGTGAAATCTTTTTATGGCTGTATACTAGTTTTAAATATTATTCTGTGATCTTCTAGTTATTTTATTGTCCCTTGTTGACAGGTTTTTATAGTTTACACGTATTTATTATGTATAACCTTTGAAAGTCACGACATGGCTGAAATATTGCCGATGTGGCTTAAAATCTTAACTCACTCATTATTTTTGAAAATGAATAGGGACGCAATTATAATTGCAATTTACATATATTCAATTATATTGACTATCTTTTCTATATCATTTCATATTTGTCAAGAAACAATGGGTTATACTCCGTACCAGCAACCTATACTTGCAAGATGCAACTTAATGGATTGGATGGTCAGGTTCGGTAACTTGGTTGTTAGCGTGCCATTGCACTTCTACGTCCTGGACGGTGCTCATGATAGCATCCATTGGTTTCATTTCCGTTATTGCTGGGTTCTGAGTTCTGAGATTAACAAAACAAACTATAAAAATCCCATCCATGTCATGTCTAGATCTGGAACGCATCGAAGGGCATCAGCTCTAACCTTCTGTCACCATTGATGGATGATGCAAACATATATGTTTGCAAATGTCCAGAAAATTCAGCCGTCAGTATGATTATGTAGAGCGTAGGAAGTAGTGGTGGTAAAATCTTGAAAACTCCTGCTGAAAAATGATACCTTCCATGACACATCTCCGTGATTTGACAAAGCCCTCACAAGATGTATTATGTCCACCAACTGTTTTGTAAAGCCCGTGGAGCGAATCGTTGGATTTCTACAGCTGTCTCGAGGGGGTTTCTTCAAGACTTCAATGTTTCAGTTAGAACGCTTGTTCATCGTTATGGCAAAATTAGAGGCGTGTCAGAACCTAGTCATCTAGATCCTAATAACTAAAGTGGGATTAACACATTTTATCTAATTTACCTGAACAATGTTACGAAAAGTGAGTTCAAAGTTAAATTCCAAAACCGTTAAGGCGAGACAAACAAATGTAAGACTAGTAAATCAATTTCACAATCGTTATGGCACAATAATGCAATATAAGTTTTCTTCATTAAGACGCCATATATTTCTAGGTTTGTCAGCACCATACCCGTGCTCGTCGGTTTCACCAAAGTGGTGAACGTCTGAGACCTTCATCACACCGGGTTTGCCTCCCACATCAAGCTGATCCGTGAAGGTCCAGGTAGAATAGGTCTTTAGCAACCCGTAAAAGGCGACTATGCTTGTCGCAAGAGGCGACTAACGGAATCACTGATTTGGTTAATGCATGTCATCGATCCCAATTGCGTGGTTCGATGCTTATGATGTCAATCACTGGAATGTCTGGTCCAGACTCGATTATGTAAAGAATAATGCGGCTTGAATAAACAAACAAACAATACATTAAAAAGAGCTATTTATTACACTGAAAGGTAAGTAGTACAAGCATGCATCGTTATATAAACCAGTTATTTGTAAACTATGCAACGATCCAATAAATATGAGTAACGCTTCGATGACAAGCAATCAATCATCGAGCATGACCACCCAATTCACTACGTCGCCTCACTCGACAGGCATATGTTCTCAGGGACCAGTTCAAACCCAGAATCCTGAAAGGTGTAAATAACAAAACAGATTGTTGTCAAACCTTGCCTGAAGTTGCCAGTTGGTAATGTAGAAGTGTGCCAAAAAAAAAAGTCATTTGAGTGAGTTGACATATCGTTTGTGACCCGTTAAGATTCCGGGGTAGAAGAGGTCATCAGCAACCCATGCTTGCCGTAAAAGGTGACTATGCTTGTCGTAAAAGGTGACTATGCTTGTCGTAAAAGGTGACTATGCTTGTCGTAAAAGGCGACTAACGGAATCGGGTGGTCTGGCTCGCTGACTTGGTTGACTGAGTGGATCGATGCTGATGATATTCATCACTAGATTGTCTGGTCCAGACTCGATTATTTACAGACCGCCGTCATATACCTGGAGTATTGCTGAATTTGGCGGTCGGCAATAAATATACACCATTTCATCGGTAAACGTTTAACACGAAAATTGAATTATTCAGTCAAAGGGAATAGACATAGTAGGCCAGGGTAATACAAACGCGTTCACTTTACCTCGTCAGTATCCCAAGAAAGACGGCTGTTATACAACTACAAAATATATATATATATAGATTCTCCCTTGTGTACAAGTTGTGATAAAGTTATTGCTGACATTTCTCACGTACTATGGAATTGTGAAAACGCTAACTCTCTCTGGGCCGAACTTGAAAGATGGATAAATAATAAGGCGGAAATTCATATCAATTTCACCAAAGAAAACGTTTTACTGGGCTTTCCATTTAAAGGAAATGATCCATTAAATGCTATATTCCTTGTCATTAAGGATACTATATTCAAATTTTATCTTAAAAAGAAAAAAATGTCTTTCGAGTTGATCCAGAGAGAGTTGGCAAATTACTACTTTATAACTAAAGCGATAGCTTACTCTAACTGTTACTACAACAAGTTTGTGAAGTTTTGGTCCAGCTGCCACAAACTATTTTTGTAACCATATCAACTCAAATACTGAATTATCCGAGTTCATATGCCCCCATGATGTATGTTTCTGTTGTTGTTTTAAGAATCGCTGTATTAACATTAATATGTATGAAATGCTGTACGACAAAAAAAGTGGAATAATAAAAAAAACAAAAAAAAACTACAAAAAACCCAACGAAGAACAAATAAACAGGTCTTGATCTGTTTAGTTTCAATATCTGCCCACTTGGGCCTTGTCTGCTCTTCATCTTCTACATTGCGACTTACGACACCACCGTTTTTTAATCAAATTCCTACTTACACATTCTTAAGATCTATTTTGGTGGTAGCTTATCTTTCACTTTGTATATCACAACATGAATAATTTTTACAAATTCATTGTTCAAGTGTTCAGAATTACATATATTAAAGTCATTTGAAGCAAATTATTTGACTTTGTAGCATGAATATATGTTCATCATTATATTATGTATATACAGTACAATACATTATATAATACAACAAACCGAATCAGATACCTAATTCAACTTGTTTATGATATCCAGTTCTTGTACAGAAAACAATCCTCCTGAAATATGCACATCTACAACATTGATTGATTTATGACAAACATAATGAGATACTCTCAGTTACTTCTCTTTGAAACCCTTACAATATGTAAAGTAAACTTTACTTTAAATGTATAATCCCAAATATAACACATGTTAGATTTGAGAACTTTCTAAAAGACACTGTGCCTTCAATAGCTTTTGGCCATGGGATCCGTGCCAATTGGCAATTGTCTGAGTACGTCATCTGGACTACCAGTTATCGATGAAAACATCGGTGGTTGAGTGGGTTAGATCGCTGTCTCTGATGCTGGCGAAATGGTGACTCACTCTGACAGTCAGGGTCAGGGTTTTTACTTTAACAAACACATGTAATTCCAAACATAACATATGTTGCCAGATACATATCCTTCGCAATTCCAACATCTACTCCTTGTTGGTGTCTGGGTTCATCCTTGTTACCAAAATGTGAGACGCCAATACAGGGTTGCCTTATGTATTCCCCTTGTTGCAATGTTTCGTTGCAGTGCTAGTGCCATTTCCTTGCAACGAAAGTGGACACTACAATTCCTTATGCCACATTTCATATGAACGGTTTCTTGATTTTAACCGGGTTTTACGTGTGTACACATGTTACTATTCGAACCACATGTAGGCACGTGTATTCGACATAAAGAGACCAGTTTAATAAACACTGACTTCATCAGCTTCAATAGTCCAATGGTTTAAGAAAAACGTTGATAACTACTGCATCATCGACCATGACCACTGATAAAATACCAAATCAAGAGGACTTTTAACTCATTTACAAATGTAGTTGTCTTTGATGAATCGTAATGTCCATTTGTTTTATTTTATGACATCAACATCCTAAAAGTCACGGCTGTTATACCAAGACTAAACACAAAGAAGCATGCAAACAGGTCTTGTGTAGTTTAGTTTCAATATCTGCATAAGTTGGCTTCGTCTGCTCTTCATCCTCTACATTGCTACTTTCGACATCAAATGTATTTGAAGCCATTCTCCTAACACATTCTTAAGATCTATTTCGCTGGAAGCTTATCTTTCCTTTTGAGGAGGAGGACATTGACAACGACGGTGACAACAATGGTGAAGTTGGCCAGAGACGCGTAGACACTAAAGAGGCTGACGGTCAAGGAGTTATCGGGCAGGGAGTCCCTGATGATGGACAGAAACAGCTCGTATCTGAGGAGGACAGACACGACCATGTTGGTCTTTTCCCGGCTCTGTGAGGGAAGTAGGGTCACGAAGGTGTCGAGGAAGTAGAGGAGGACAACGGGAAGCAGGATGTTGAAGATGTATAACAGGGCGTCTTCTCAAATGGATGGTTATACGTGTTCCCTGCCCACTATAACCACAGCCGATGTCGGTTATGTCTTCCGGGGAAATTTAAAACTCGCTATGGTCTTCAAATTGTTTCATGGCAACATCTGTTTCACAAAAAAGATATATTTTCTTGTAGAAACCGAGCCATCCACCTATTACAACTGAACATGTCTGGGTATCAAAGGGAAACTTGTAAATGTTGACAGGACACCTGCTTTCTATTGTCCCTGTGACAAGCCACCTAATGATTCCATGACTGTTCACCAGCAGAGACCCTCCATTATGTAGTAGCTCTTGTCACTTGATACTATTTCCTTTAATCATTTCAGGTTTCCAGAACTTGTCTGGGACCGCAAGAACACTTGCTTGGTACCTCAACGAAGTATTCTAAACAACACGATGGTCGTACCACGAGAAGATCAACCAGGTGGTGCTGCACAGAAACTGCTTTTTGTTATCCAGTTCGCGTACAGATAACAATCCTGCTTCAATTGTAATGTTATCTTCATTGCTTGGCATGTGATTGACTTTGTGATCTATTAAGATTGTGCCAATGACTTCCCTGTCAGATTTTACAACATATGCTCCTTAAAGCCCCACCATGACTATAAATAGCCCGCAAGGTGGCGGTGTTTCAGTTTCAATGACGATGTAAACACAACCGAGTGTCGGGAGAAGTTTTTTGAAAAACATTACGGGAACCGACCACCACTGACCGTCAAACTTCGTATCAACTTGAATAACAAACCATGGATACAACAAATGGCTCCATATCAAGATATAAGTCAACAACTTTTCTGTAGTTTATCATAAAAAATCGAATCGATCGTGTTTGGCGTCTGCATCAATCACAATGGGCGGAGCTTACATGTATTTACGGTTGCGCTATAAATAGCAAAGCACATGGTCATGCGTACATGTGACACATTCAATGCATTTGTGTTCATTGTGTTGTATATTTTTGCAGCAGAACAGCAGTTTCGGTTAATGTAACAGTGACGATACTTAAATACTAAATTGACGACGCGATTCTTTCAGTTCAATCCGAAAATTACAGATATTTGTTTAGGTTTGGTAATTTGTATTCAACAGTTAGATTTGTGCCACACAATAATCAGTTTATATTCATAAAACTGAAATAATTACACAGAATTTTCAACTAGGTTTTAGAAAGGGGCCTAATTTGAAGCACCAGAAGTTGCGCCAATATTTCTGTGCTTGACTACAATAGATGAATATGTCACGTGTATCAACATAACAATGCAAATAAGCAACTGGTAAATAAGTAACGAAATATACTTGATATTTTAACCTACAGAAGGCGTATCCAGATAATACTGTACTTATGATAAACGAAAACTCCAATACACATATTCCAAGACAACTTTAATTATGAATTTCCTTTTTTTCACAGAATTTTCACACACAAAACTCAGTTTGATCATTCGATCCACACTTGTCCCATGTATTTTTTGTTCGGGTATTTGGATACACTTCGCGCACAAGTTTTAAAATACAATCTGGGATCCCTTTCCCGTTTTTTCCACACCAATCCTTCATCTGCTGCAACGTTCCGTTACTTCAAGTCCAAGTATCTACGATCTCTCCAAATACTTCGTTTATTTAGCTCAGTCCAGAAGCAATGTGTTCGAATCGACGAATTTCTGCAACATGGTGGCCGTACCATTGCCTAACTGCGATTGTCTGTGCCGTGTCACGCATGGTTTACAAAAGAAGTGTGAACATACATGTGCGGCTTCATCCCGGTTCCACAATGAAATCCAGCTGTGACACTGATTCACTAGTCCCAAGAATCGGCACTGAATTTATCAAAGTTTCTGTTGCACTTGCAAGGGCGGGAAGAGAGTCGCCATCTTGTCGATTCGAGTTGTGAATCGGAATTATGTCATCTTGAATTGGAACTTTTTCCACGATATAATCGAAATGAATAAAGGCTCCCTGAATGTCTCGAACAACTCTTCGTCAAATTAGGCTTCACATAAAAATGTTTTGTTGCTCATATTGAAGACAAGCGAAATTACAAAGTTCTTGACATTTGTAAGCAGCAACTCGATGCGCTCATGGGGCCTGGCTGTTAGGAGATCGCGTGGTCAGAAAGGGGAACACAAAAAGTTTTAGAAAGTAATAAAAGAAATACGCAGTGCAATCCAAAAGTACAATGTACGGGATATTTTTTGATAATAATATTCACGAAAAAAAAATCTTTTCTAAAAATGCAAAATTAATTTATCAATTTATCCCAAGGTCGTAATCCTGATCACGTGGTGGGTATTTGGAGGGAATCTTTGCGATGACGCCGTGTATGAGGCCGTGTGTATTACATTGTTGAATTCAACTGCCCAGGAAGATTGTTGAGGCATTGACATTATGAGAGATGTTCGTCATGGATGGAAAGAAAAATGTATCAGAGAGAAACATTGTTGCTTTGAGCTTCGAGACAAAACGTGTTAATGCCGAAGTAGCCAGCGACCTGAATGTAAGCTTGATGAAAATAAAGGTTGAAACCCATTTTCACGCACATGACAGAATTAATTTGACAAATATTTAAGTGAACATCGTTTCGAAGTCTGTGAGGCTGTCTGTATCTTAATATTTTTACCTCCATTCCGACTTTAAAAAATATAGTGTCTTCGTGTCTCAATTTTGCTGCCGCTGTGGAAAATTACGCACCGAACTAATAAAAGAAATACTACTAGATCTACCATTGCACCGTCATAAAAGACCAGGTCAACTTTATCTTTGTTCCGTTGTTTATTAAAAATTCGTTTCCGAAGCAAAGCGAATCGATCTACATCATAAATTAATTCATAGACTGGATTCTAGTACCAAGTGTAAAACCTTTAAAATGTCATAAAATAACTTACACAATTATTGAAAGACATTTTTTGATAAGTAACATATTTTATTTCGTCCGCCCGTTCTCTGGTTAGTTGAGGCTTGAGGGGAGAAACACATACAAATAATATGGATGGCCTTATGCAAATGACACTTGGCATGCCAATCAACAGGGATCTGGATCGTTAAAATCTGTGGGAATCAACAGTTCTGAGCTACATCCAGCTACCAGTGTAAAAATCTGGTTAAGAATGATATTAAAAACAAGTTTTTACGGCTGCGAACTGCTCTTTGATATAAAGGGTCAAAACATTAATGTCACTGAACATACTCAACGCTATTTCGCGCGAACTGTACAAGGACTTGATAGAAGATCTCCATCAGAATCCACTATTGCTAATCTTGGGCTTTGGACAATGATCGGCTTTATCGATAAGTGTAAACTTCAGCTGCTTGGCATCTTATGTAACTTAACCTGTAACAATTTTGTTAAACATCTTTTTTTGTGCATACATTGCAAATCCAACTAATCCTAAATCTGTATGTGGAGATTTTTTATCAGTTCTTAACAAGTATAACCTACGAAACAACCTTTGTACATATGTAAGCTGTGGTGTATTTCCTACAAAGAGAAACTGGAAGCAACTAGTTAATAAAACCATTGAATGAAATGAAGAAAATACGTGGCGCAGATAAGTTTCTGTCATTACAGGTCTTTTTCGCTTCATGCTTATACACACAAAGCTTGCTCACCATATAGTATGGCAACTAACATATCTGTACCCAGAACAGAGGTCAAGTTTAAAATGTTGTGTTTGCGTTTCATCACGAAACAAAACTTCCAGGGACTGTTTATTGTGTAACAAACATGCCTTTGATTATGATAATCACATCATATTACATTGAAGAAACAACGAAGAAACTACTTTGATCACTTGAAAATATTTATGACCATTACCAGGATTTTTTACACGACCGTTGTCATCCAGATTCCAGATGAGGTAAGACAAACACAACGAAGAAAAACATTGTTGAAATCACCGATTGCCGTATATATTGTGAGAAATGCTATTTATAAACTGCAGATATACCGTACACCACAGGATAACGATTGGTGCCCCAACACATATTATGTTTCTTGTTCATTTACACTGCTCATATGCATCACGACAAACGTATTTCGTTCTCGTCCAGAGATCTAGAACTATAATTTGTGTGTTGGACTACTGTGTTGGATAAATCGTGGACATTCCACGATATCATTTTATGAAGATGTGAAGACGACATTGCAGGTAGGTTTTGAAACCAAAGATGTACGCGTTTGTTGAAAAGTCTTGGAATCGTTTGGTAGATATTTACATTACCATTAAAACTTACGTCCTTGTTGTCAAACGGCCCACGTGGGTGGGTGTTTACATGACGTCACCCGTTTACGCATTAACCAATGAAATGTATGTGTTATCATGACGTCATATTGACCTGTCATATCACTTGTATATGCTCCGCCCACTAGAGTGCGGTAGTTACTACCGCATATGGGGCTTTATGTAACTTGCAGTATCCATGTCACGTAAAATAACATGCCTGACATTCAACATCTTCTCAGGCGTATGTGTAAGTCCGGACGTTTTCTTAGGTTCTTCTATATTTTAGCAATATCATCAGTATGTGTTTCTATGGAGATGACATTAAACAGAGCCTAATCCTATGAATAAGCAAACTTCGAAATGGATTTTGTGCATGTCAATATGAACGTTTTAAGGTAATTGTGTAATTGCCTTTGATGCACAACTGAGAATCTAAAACATGGTTTTAATGAGGTAATGTTGGAAATATGTACTCAGTATTATTCACCCAAGAGAGGGATGGAAGGAGTTTGATAGCCTATTCTTCAAAATTTATCAGACTTCGAAGTAGACCCGTGAAGATTCCAGGGTAGAATAGGTCTTCAGCAATCCATGCTTGCTGTAAAAGGCGACTATGCTTGTCGTAAAAGGCGACTAACGGGATCGGGTGGTCAGGCCCACTGACTTGGTTGATGCATGTCATCGATCCCATTTGCGTGGATCGATGCACATGATGTCGATCACTGGATTGTCTGGTCCATACTCGATTATTTATAGACCGCCG